CCGTAATTTGTCGGTGACGGACGGAGAAGACGTACGTGGATGGAGACGTGCGGAGGAGCAGCGGTGGATGTGGAACAGCTCTCATTGATTTCCATGAAAGACAAGCGCTCCGCACGACGTACGTCAGCGGGGCGGAGCGGAGCGCTGACGGAGTATGTGGAATCTGGGGGTTATTTTTAGCTCCATCCAGGTCAAGACCCGCAATTGCAATAACACCAAACAGGAAAAAGAATGTAGAGAAATTCCGGTTTGTCAAATTAAATTATAGTAAAAACAGATACAAACCTGACTCCAAAGAGCAGAAAGCCCTGGAGAACTCAATGGTAAAGTGGATTGGGTGTTCTGTCCTGCCTGCAAGGACCAATGGGGATGAAGACTTTGTGGATATGATGAAACAAGCCGACAGAAGGTTCAATGTGTGCAGAGGGATATATGTTACAAAGAGAAGCAGTGTGTGAAGAAGTTCTATTCTAGGGTGACCAAACGTCCGTATTTCCCGGGACATATCCGTAGGCTATTTCATGTCCTGTCCCGGGCGTCCCGGTTTTTTTTAGAAAGTGAGGAAATGTCCTGATTTCACTGCGCATATGCTCCGTGTGATGTAATCCCTGAGCCGGGTCAGTGCAGGCAGCCCTGTTCTTAATCAGAGGCTCTGTTTGAAAACCTAGGACGCATCTTCCAAGGACGCGGTCTACCTAGACTGGATCCTCCAAGGACGTGGTCTACCTAGACTGGATCCTCCAAGGACGCGGTCTACCTAGACTGGATCCTCCAAGGACGCGGTCTACCTAGACTGGATCCTTCCAAGTCCTTGAAAGTAAGGAGACCGGAAGAGTTTTGACTGTAAATTCGACCAGGTCTACCCTTCGGCGGGTTTTAGCGCCTGCTCTGTTGCTTAGCAACCGTTAAAGTTGACACACAAAGCAGGAAAAGAATGAATACAGAGGTTTTCAAAACAGTTTGTTTATTTATTTTTTATTGTAAAGTGAACAAAGACTGATGAGAATCCAGAGTGGAATAAATGTTCCAACCAGCGGGAGCAGGAACAAATCAAATCAAATGTAATGATAGAAACCTTAGTCAGTTAAATAACCTGCTGCTGTCATTCTGCACATCTCTGATGTTGCTGCTAGTTTCAAATATCCATTACTGTAAAA